TTATCCAACTTAAGTTCTTGACCGAGACACTGTAAAAAATGCAGATTAACAAGAGAAAAGCAAATGAAATTATTTAATATAAGTTGTACATGACAAGGGAGCCTTCACAAGGAAATGAGGACCTGAAGAAATAGTTACATCTGACGTTTGATGAAAAATAGGAAGTCATGGGAAAATGTGGTAAGACAAGAGTATGAGCTAAGTATAGTAAACTGGGAGACACTTAGCATGGCAGTTCATTCAGATTCATCCTGGTGTTCCTCTGTCTTTTGACATAAGGATGTTCCTTTCCTCTGGTATAAGGAAGTCACCTCTCATATGAGGTTCTTACAATCTGTTTCAAGGGAGAAGATCACAGAGTTCTTCTAGCACCTGCCATTTTTCAAATTCCTTCAGCTATATGTTGGGAGGAGTATGTCCTGAACCCCATCAGGTGTTATCATCTGTTTACAAAAGGTGACAATGTGAATGAATACACTGCTTTATAAAATGGAAGGAAGATGGAAAGGGCTTTAGGACTAAAGTTGAAAACTTTAAAAGGATCAAAATACCACATTCCTGAAGCAAAAAGAAAAAGGTAAGTCAAAAACTATCAGTTTCTTGTAAAATAATTTTGAATGAGAATAAAATGCACAAGCAGGGAGAGACATGAAGTCAGAGAGGCTAAACACATAGAATCACGGAAGTTTATGTCATGTTTGGGAAATGTGACCAAGTAATTAAAGAAATAACCTAGGAGAAAATGGAATTATAAAGTATAACTGTAGGGATAAAAACAAATGATTTTCCCTCTACCCTTCTAAGTTCTCATTTGAGACTCCTGTAACAAAAGACAGATTAACAAGGGAAAAACGTTTATTAACATGTGTATCACACATATAATACATGGGACTATCCGAAAGTGAGTAACTCAAAGAGGTGGCTTAGAACTCCAGTTTATACAGCATCTTCAACAAAGAAAATAAATATTTAAAGAAGTGATAAAGCAAAGGAAAAGGACTTGAGCCCTAAGGGGCAGCAAATTGTAGGAAGGCAAATACGTGGAAAACTAATGGTAGATGAAGGCTAGTTGGTAAAATTTGTTATGTAGATTTCTCTGGTGCTATCTCCAGGCTCATTAGGGTCTCAAGTTGTTTCCAGGGATTAGCTTTTATCCCTTTTTTGGCAGAGAGGGAAGAAGGTATGCCTTTGTAAATGTATGCACTGTAGGGGAAGAGAAGAGAGCTTTTCTTGTATCTGCTTTTTCTGAACTGGCTTCAGTTTGAAATAATCCTTATGCCAAAACTGCATATTTTGGCATGGCATGTTCGGCAACCCTTTATAATGTACTCAATAAATTCTTCCCTCTCTGCTTCTGAAACTATGCCTCAAAGAGTTAAAGAAACCAATGATTAACAGAAATTCTTGAGTGTGCAGGATGGCAGATTAAAAAACCACTTACTGAAACTCCCTCTGCTTATGAGATTAAAAAACTAGGTGAAATCAGTTGGAACCAACATGGTCAACTGGAGTCTGCACAGAATGAGCTTGCTGACATCACAGCCTGAAATTCCACTGCATGTTTCATACTATCCCAGAATTGCACATGCAACCTATGAGATGGCATGAAGAGATAACTATGTCTTTGTATCCTTAAGGACTTTGCAGATCTCCCCTTTCCTTCCACCAATGACCTATTAATCTCAGCATCTCCCCTCCCCCCATCACTTGCTGAAAATACTGCTTTGAAGCCAGCCTGGGGCGACAGATTTGAGCTTGACACTCCTGTCTCCTTGTGAGTCAACTTGCGATACAAAACTTTTTTTTTCTCAAAAACTCAATGTCATAGTATTGACTTCCAGCATAAGGCAAAGAGCCCCTTTTATTTAATAACACTACAAACTTCACTTCTCTCTCTTTAATTTGCTTGGAATATTGAAATTCTGTTTTTCTTCCTGAAAGAATAAACAAACCCTTGTGATAAAAACCCATCGCTGAAAAGGCATGCTCTTGTAAATAACTATTCAACTATGAGAAATAAATATGAATAAGGTGATAGTCATACAATATAGTATTATACATATATACACATGAAGTTCTATTTTTTTCAAAATCCAAGTAACTCTTATATTTTATACTATAAAAATCTAAAAGAAAGAATCTTCTGAAGTCCCTAAAGCTCTCTTGCAAGAATTTCTAGCTGTTTGAGAATTCTTTTCAGCTAAGTGACTCTTGAAGGCTTTCTGTCAGGCAGGAAATGTAACACTAATCATAGTATAAAATTGAGTTCTGCTAAATAACATAAATGGCAATCCTATATTTTAAGAGATACTGTATAATATGTCTCTCAAAATATGTGACCTTGTGCACATGTACTAATGTCAGAGGTATTTGAAACAGAGCAACTCCATCTTGAATAGGGACTGGGTAAAATAAGGCTGACATCTGCCAGGAGGCATTCCCAGTAAGTTAGGCAATCTAAGTCACAGGATAAGATAGGAGGTCAGCACACGATATAGGTCATAAAGACCTTGCTGATGAAACAGCCTGCAGTAAAGAAGCCAGATTAAACCCACCAAAACCAAGACAGTGATCAGAGTGACCTCTGGTCGTTCTCACTGCTAAGCTCCCAACAGTGCCATGACAGTTTACAAATGCCATGGCAACGTCAGGAAGTTAACCTATGTGGTCCAAAAAGAGGAGGCATGAATAATCCACCCCTTCTTTAGCATATAGTCAAGAAATAACCATAACGATGGGCACCCAGCAGCCCTCAGGGGCTGCTCTGCCTATGGAGCTAGCCATTCTTTTATTCCTTTACTTTCTTAATAAATTTGCTTTCATTTTATTCTATGGGCTTGCCTCAAATTCTTTCTTGTGAGAGATCAAGAACCCTTTCTTGGGGTCTGAATTGGGACTCCTTTCTGGTAACAGTAATATAATAAAATTAAAAGTATATTAATGTATTCCCTGTTGGTTATTTATTCATACATACATATTTGCACATAAGTGAATGGAACCACTTTATTATGAATAGTGTGGTAGTACCAAGTGGTTAAGATAAAATTAGTAACTAGCCACTAGAATTTTCTTGAAGATACAGACAAGTGCTTAGTGGGTGTGAAATAAGTTTTTATCTCTAATTGCTATGAGAGAAGAAAGAAGAACCTGGGTAACATGAAAATAAAAATGCAGATTTGGTCCTTTGGCCTTTCCTTCATTATGTTTTTGAGTTTCTTTAACTGCCTGAGGACAAGGGGCTTGAGTAGATGATGTTTAAAAACAGTGTTTTTCAAACTTGTCTACACACTGGATTCAAGAGGGAAACTTCAAAAATTGCTTAGGCCTGTATCCTATTCCAAGGGTTATAATTTAATTGGTCTGGGGTGTGACCTAACCTTTGGAATTTTTATAAGACCTCCAGGTGCTCTAATATGCAAACAAGTTTGGGAACCACATTTTAAGATAATTTTCAGTTCTACGTCTGTGATTAGGAAAACTACCCAGAGGGATCCCAAATCTAAAAGAGAATCACCGTTAGGAATTTAAAAACAAAACAAAATAAAAAACTAGGGAAAATCAAAGGACATATGTCATTATAAAACAAGGCAGAATTGTTAAAATTATGGCAAATTGGGCAATTTGTTAGCAGTTACGGCAACACTGAACTTCCCTACTGTCTAGATGTAAAAAAGAGGGGTTCAATCATTCATTTGTCTTGGTGGTCTTGTTACAGGAAAGGAGTCCTTATCCAGACCCCAAGAGAGGGTTCCTGGATCACGCACAAGAAAAGAATTCAGGGCAAGTCAGCAGTGCAAAGTGAAAGCGAGTTTTTTTTAAAAAAAGTAAAGGAATAAAAGAATGGCTACTCTATAAACAGAGTAGCTCCAAGGGCTGCTGATGCCCATTTTTATGGTTATTTCTTGATGATATGCTAAACTAGAGGTAGATAATTCATGCCTCCCCTTTTCAGACCACATAGGGTAACTTCATGATGTTGCCATGGCATTTATAAACTGTCATGGTGCTGGTGCGAGTATAGTAGCAAGGAAACCAGAGGTCTCTCTTGTGGCCATCTCGGTTTTGGTGGGTTTTAGCCAGCTCCTTTACTACAACCTGTTTTATCAGCAAGGTCTTTATGACCTGTGTTTTGTACTAACCTCCTATATCATCCTGTGAGTTAGAATGCCTTACCGTCTGGGAATGCAGCCCAGTAGGTTTCAGCCTCATTTTACCCAGCTCCTATTTAAGACAGAGTTGCTTTGGTTCACATGTCTCTGACAGTTTTACTGATATGTTTCAAGTGCATATACGAATGTATAGCCAGGGGTAAGAGAAAGAAGTATTACAGACTTTTAGTATCCTCCTGTTGTTGTTCACTAGGGTTATGTATCTTAAGACTAGGAATCTGTAGAGCCATAACTTTAAAGAACTAATTTTAACCACCATTCAATTAAAGTTAGTACAATGACTTTGCATAATACATACATGAAATAATTAGTGAAGATGGTTCTTAATTTAAAGGATGTTAAACAGCTTGTAGACATCTGGTAACAAGCTGAAATGGGTCATTCAAAATTTATCTAACTAAATTAAGGGGGAAAATTGTTTCTCCTCCCAGGTTGGCATGTCACAAGATAACTAAACCGACTTAGCAGGCTTGCCTGGGAATCCTTAGCTGTCAGTGGTGAATATGCAAAGGGCCAGCAAATTAAATCAACCTGCCAAACTGTCAATTTCAAGCCTCATGACTGCATGAAAATAGCATCACTGGAAGAAATCAAGCATTGCCTTCTTTTGGATTTCCTGGCACCTATTCAAATACGCATGCAGTTGTGGCTAATTTTGCATGCAAATTTCAGTCAATAAGCTCAGAACAAGACCTCCCAAGATATTTCAAAGGATCTGACAGTATTTTTCTGAATACCAAATCGACAGTAGTTGAAATTCAATCTCCATTTGCTAGTGTTTTACATATGCACAGTGTCCCCACCACAGAGCTAAGCTAATGAGAGCCTTACCTGTTTTCACTCACATCCTCCCAGCCGTCCTTGCTGAGGTTCTCAAACACATTGCTCACAACCTTGATGGAGTGATTGAGAACAGTGTGGTGACGACCCACAGAGCAATTTTTCTTGGCAGCTTTAAATTTAACCTTGGTTGTAGTTGTCTTACAATCATATCGCCCAGATCTCACTTCCGTTGTGGCCATCTCAGATTTAGCTTTGTCTGCTGACTGTTTTGATTTCTCCATTGGGCTCATCAGCTCTTCATTTTCATTTCTCAATGCATTAGCTTCTGTCACTTGTCTCCTCAGGGAAGTGACTTCTCTCTCCAGCTCACTGATTTTTACTTGAAGTTCAGTATTTACTTTTTCTACATCTTTACTCCCCTTTATTATCTGTTCTAGCTCTTTTTCTCTGGCCTCTGTATCTTCTTGTTGCTGCTTTAAGCGGGATTTCAGAAAATCATTTTCTTTCATTAATTTTTTATTCCCTTCTTTTAATTTCCTTGACCTTTTCTCAAAAGATTTTAGCCGATTTTCCAACTCAATGACCTAAACAGAAGAGTTTAATTTATTCTTTTAAGAATCTAAAACCATAATCTACTATATTTTATTATCATTTCTAACTTATAAAAATTACATTTAGCACAAGGACAATATAAATCTAAAGTACTTAATTTCTAGATAATTCTAAAGTGGTGTAGATGAATACATTCAAAAATGCAATAATACATCTGTTGAATAAAGAACAGATGGTAAAAGAAGGCAAAATTCTATACAAAGTAACAGAACTAAGTATGCTAATAAACTGCAGTGTCTTCTGAGATTATAAGTGCCTTGGCTATACATTCTATTCATTGTGGAAAAAAAATTCAGAGAAAAATAATTTATACAAAAAGTCTAAAAGTAGATACATAAATTGTATTAATAACATTTTCATTCAATATTCAATAATCATGAAAAAGGAAGGACAATACCAAGTAATCTACTGAGGTTGCTTTTTTTCTAAATTAGAAAAATGTAATTTTAGTAGTCATACGGTCCTCAGTTTATGCGATAAAGAACAGTTACCAAATAATAAAGACTAACGATTTTAAATTACAATGATTTCAAGATTGCATATAAATTAAAAATTTCCCTTTTATTTCAATAAACAATGCTCATGTTATAGGACATAGCAAAGGTAACACACACTTCCTAATCTTAAGGAATTTCCAAATTATTTGGAAAGACAGACATTTGCATACATAAGCCTAATAAAGGATATAATCCAAGTTCCATAAGTCTGGGCAATTAATTCTAATTCATGAGTTCAAATATTTCATGGAGGAGTTGACTTAGATTAGGTCTAATTAATAATGAGCACTATTGTTTGTAAAGTACATTTTACTATTTACAAAATAGTTTCATAAACATGATTTCTTCTGGCCATCTCAAAAACATGAGATATGTAGATAGAACCAACAGTTTATCTTTCCAAAATAGGAAAGAGAGGTTCTGAAAACTTAAATTTCACAGAGGTAAACCTTTCCTGGATTGAACTGGGATCCAAATTCAGGATTTTGTGCCCCTCCCACTATGCAACAAGCCATAGGAGAAAGAAATTACTCAGACATGTATGAAAAATGAACAAAGATTTGGAATCAAGAAAAAACTGGAGACAAGCAAAATGGAGACAAAAAATCTAAATGACTGGAGAAGTATATGAACTCATTTTTACTTTTAAAACAAAATTCTTCATAGAGAAACATGTTTGATATACTGACAACTCCAATGGTCTGAATACTTGTGTCCCTCATAAAATTCATATGTTGAAACATGATCACAGTGTGATGTTACCAGGGGGTGGGCCTTTGGAAGGTGACTGGATCATGAGGGTGGGGGCCTCATGAATGGGATTAGTGCTGTTATAAAAATCCCCAGAAAGCTAGTTAGTTCCTTAGACCATGTGAGGGCACAGCAAGAAGGTGCCATCTATAAACCAGAAAGAGAGTCCTCCTAAGACACTGAATCTTAGGCACTTGGATCTTGGACAACGAATTTCTATTATTTATAATCCCCTCAGTTTTAGTATTTTTTATAGATGACTGAAGATATGAAGACAACAACCTCTGATTCAAAATAATAATATTCCAGAAATATACAAGATAAAACACACATATTCTTTTTGGCAGCAGCGGGGGATGGAGTCTTGCTCTGTGGCCCAGGTTAAAGTGCAGTGGCGCAATCTTGGCTCACTGCAATCTCCACCTCCTGGGTTCAAGTGATTCTTCTGCCTCAGCCTCCCAAGTAGCTGGGACTACAGGCACGTGCCATCTGGCTAATTTTTGTATTTTTAGTAGAGACAGGCTTTCACCATATTAGCCAGGCAGGTCTCAAACTCCTGACCTTGTGATCTGCCTGCCTCGACCTCCCAAAGTGCTGGGATTACAGGCGTGAGCCACCTTGCCCTGCCAAAACATATTCTTAACACTTTCCAGTTTACTAAACTTTACTTACAATGGTGAAGAAGTTGTTTTCTAAACATGAGTTTCAGTCATGTCTGATTTACACATCCTTCTGTATTACCTTTTTGTTTTACACGTTCAACCTCTTTCATTTAAATCAACATTCATTTATTAAGTGACTAGGCTATCCTAGGGCTTGGGAATTTCTCAGTATGGTATGAGGAATATCACCTAATTTTAATTACTTCTATTCCATGGTATGATATATTAACCTACTATTGGACTTATGTCCTTATAGGACCTACTCATGACCTAGAATAAAGGTATCTGAAAAATTTTGTACCAGACTATTGTAGACTTCTGCATATTTCTGTGAAAGAGATTGTATGTATTGTTCCTTCTCAATGTAAGCACTTTACTGGGGAGCTGATTAATGTGACAAAAAATACAGTGTTCAAGAAAAAAAATCTATGGCAGAGTATTTTTTATTTTTTCCAAATCACTCTACCTCTAAATTTTATTGAAGAATTTTTAATCACCACTGAAATCAGTATACCTTTCATAAATATATTTAAAAATACTTTTGCATGTTATATTCCAAAGAAAAGTAAAAATATACTCTATTTTTAAAATACATATTTGGTGCAAGTAAGCAATTACACTTTCTTTAAGTCAGGGTCTCACTTTATTGCCAAGGTTGGAGTGCAGGAGCCCGATCATGGTTCACTTCAGCCTTGATCTCCTGGGCTCAAGTGATCCTCTCACCTCAGCCTCCCAAGGAGCTGGGACCAGAGTCATGCACCAACACACTTGGCTAATTTTTTATTTTTTGTGGAGATGGACTCTCACTGTGTTGCCTTGATTGGTCCACACATTTTTTTTTTTAAAAATGACTTTGGTGATACAAAAATACTAATAAGAAGCAGTGTGTTTTAGGGGAAATAGAATTTTGAATTAGGTCTATATCTCACTTCCAACTCTACTCGCTTTAGCTGGTAAAATATTTAAGGTATTTTACCTTTACTTTCCTCATCTGTGAAATGAGGATAGTAAAACCTACACCTTGCAGTTTTGTTGGGAGTATTAAATGTGATCATAAACCATAATTCCTGAAGAAAACAATTTATTATCATTATCATTATTACTGTTTCTATTATTAATCTTAACACCTACCAAATAAAATTGCTGTAACTAAAATATAATTACTTGTGCTAAATATTCCAAAGTAGACATTAAATCAACTTTATATCTCAATTAAACTAAAATATGTTATAAACAAATACAACAAATAAACATCTTAAATTTGAGATTCCGATTCTAGAAATTAGCATTATAAATTTTTTTACTAAAATCCAATTAAGTTTGGGGAAAACTTATTAAAATTTTACTAGGTTGGTGCTCAGAACACAACGCACCAAAGTATGGCACTCCTGCCCTACTGTCACCCACCCCTTTTTCTCCCCTCAAGTCAGTCAAATCAACATAATTCCTCTTCCCTAAAGCAGGTCATATAAACTAGAACTCCTCTCCCCAAAAGCAAGGCTTAAAACCAAGAAAAGTCACTTTCTCTCTTCTTGGTTCTCCCTTGAAGACTTTCATTCTAGAGGGGCCTGGTCCCATACCTGGAAAGGAAGTAAGTCAACACAGAGGGCAAGAAGAATCTGAGCAGACAGGCCTTGCTGGGCTCACCTCTCCTCAGTCTATTACCATAGATCATACCCATTTGTGCAAACACATTTCTACATGGCTATCCTTTATTTATGGAACCTCAGCTTATAAACAGTTTTCTCTGGGTCTTTGTGTTTGAAGCCTCCTGTGGCACATAAAACTTTGATTAAATAAATGTTACATTTTTCTCATGTTAACCTGCCTTTTATTATAGGAGTGTCAACTGTGGCCCTTAAGATGGGCGAGGAAAGACACCACACCTTTCCACCCCTTTACACACCAATTGAAGATGTCTGTGGTTTTAAGGTCTGTTAACTGCCTAATGTGAATCTATGTTTAATTATGAGAAGTGGTCAAAACTATTTAAGTTTAAATTGGAGGACAAATAACAAAACAGAGACACTACTTCTAAATATTTTGAAAGGGAAAATCCATAGCACTTATTAAAGTGTTATTCAAAGTATACTCTCAAAAACTGTTAAACTGATTTTAATCCTTCAAAAATAGAAAAGTAAATTTTAATACATATTTGAGAATGAAAGTCTGGGGAACTGATAAAGGTGTTTGATTTATGGGTTATAATTCAGCTCAGGCCCATATTTTCTTACAGTACTGAACATTTTAAATACTATACCAAATAGATGGCTCTTTTTAGGCCAGGGGCAGTGGCTCACATCTGTAATCCCAGCACTTTGGAAGGCTGAGGTGGGTGGATCACTTGTACCCAGGAGTTAGAGACCAGCCTGGCCAATATGATGAAGCCCCACCTCTACAAAAAACTCAAAAATTAGCCAGGCATGGTGGTGCACCCCTGTAGTCCCAGTTACTCAGGAGGCTGAGGTAAGAGAATAGCTTAAACCCAGCAGGCAGAAGTTGCAGTAAGCCAACATCACCCACTGCACTCCAGTCTGGATGACAGAGCAAGATTCCATCTGGGAAAAAAAAAAAGGAGGCTCTTTTCAAAACAGAAATAAAACCCCTGGCATTATGAAGCTCTGAAGCACTTACATTAGCTTGCTAGGGTTGCCATAACAAAGTATAACAGAGTAGGTGACTTAAACAACAGAAATTTATTTTCTCACATTCCTGAAGTCTAGAAGTCCAAGATCAAGGTGTCAGCAGGGTTGGTTTCTTCTGAAGCCTCTCTCTTTGGCTTGTAAATGGCTATCTTTTCCCTGTGTCTTCACATGGACTTCCCTCTGTATTTGTCTGTATTCTAATTTCCTTTTTTTAAATAAAGACACTGGTCATGTTGTATTATAGCTCACCCTAATAGCCTTATTTTAACTTAATTACCTCTTTAAGGACCCTGTCTTCAAATATACTCACATTCTGAGATAATACAGATTAGGACTCTTAATATAAATATAAATTTGGAGGCTAGAACACAATTCTGCCAATAACAATGTGAAATGTTATTATTTTTAAAATAATCTGTTCATATGTTTCATTTCTACTATATACAAACACTGTTTTCATCATATTACTATTTTTAAAATTAATTTTGAGTGAGTTTCATATATGTTTTAAAATAAGGAAATCATTAAAACCACGAGGAATTAACTTGTGATTGATAAACTTGCATTAGGTAAATATAAAAAATAGTATACTAATTTGACATACATCCAATGAAAATATATTGGTTGTCAGGTCTTAAAACAGAGGTCCGGATCTACTATTGTAGTACTCATTTATGGCAGATGGAATGAAATAATGGGTTACTTTTGAGTTTCTATCCTAAGGCAAGAAATAGTAGTTACTTATCCATAGATACAAAAATTATACAAAACCTGGCAAATAAAAATATTGTTCTGAAAAAAAAGATGCTAGGTTAGTGTGAACTGTATGACATCCTAGCTGGTAGTGAATAGATTAATTCAATTAGTTATTTTACCTAAAGACATACAAATGTAAGCATTTCTAGTTATGTATTATTACATTAACTTTATATGTGTCATTCAGTAATAATGAGATGACAGCCTTTGTTACCTGACCATATGGCAAGTGTTATAAGTATGAAGAATCACATCATCTGCTATAAATCACTAGATTTCCTACAAGTCAATTCAGAGATGCAACAAAATATAAGTAACTATGTTAATATTTTTGTTTATATATTTGTACATTTTCAGCTTTAGCTAATTATAAAAGTAATCTAATGTAGCCAACTGAGAATCACTTATAACAACAAGCTATGGCCGGGCGGGGCGGCTCACGCCTGTAATCCCAGCACTTTGGGAGGCCGAGGCCGGTGGATAACGAGGTCAAGAGATCAAGATCATCCTGGTCAACATGGTGAAACCCTGTCTCTACTAAAAATACAAAAAATTAGCTGGGCATGGTGGTGCGTGCCTGTAAACCCAGCTACTCAGGAGGCTGAGGAGAACTGCCTGAACCCAGAAGGCGGAGGTTGCGGTGAGCCGAGATCATGCCATTGCACTCCAGCCTGGGTAACAAGAGCGAAACTCCGTCTTAAAACAAAAAAAAAAAGAACAAGCTATTCAAAGATTATTTTCTGTAGAAGTATTAATAATTAGATCTACTTAATTGAACTTGATAACAATGTATTTGTAAAAATATGAATTAAATATAAAATTATAAAGATAAATGTTAATATTTTAAAATAGCATTTTACTATTAATGATAGACATGGTATAACATGACATAGAGTTTACATGGATGGCCTTATTGAAACATAAAATGCTGTACTAAATCATATTGGTATAAGTTTTTATCTAAAATTAGACGAGTCATGTATTTTCTCAAATTTAACATTAAAACTATAAATATATTACCATTTTACTGTGATAAAGTTGTAACTATGCTCAGTGTTTTAGTTCAAATATGATAAATCTCTGTATTTGTGGAAGTATAGCACAGTCTTATTAAAATATATTTTAAATTTAAACTGCTAAGTTATAACTAACAAGCACATATAGTCAACATTCCTGTAGTTTCTATTTTTTTCATTCTCTCCATTTCACCTTTTGAAAATAATTTTAATCTATGTCAATGGAAGCACAAGTGTTTACACATTTATTTCACTAACATTGATTTTTTTAACCCCATTTTGGCAAGCCAATGATTTTGAATTATGGATCTGAATTAAGGATTCACACAAGGTTTACATTCATAAGCCCTTGCTTTAAAATATAATCCTTTATGTTAAAATTCAGATTTAACTTGCTCAGTTCGATATCTTAAAGATTAGACTACCTTCTGTAATGTCTGCTCCAACATTTCTTTTCCATTCTTCTCTGGAGTACTTTTCTTGACCTCATCATCTTCACCAGATCTAAAGAGTTGTTCTGGTAGAGAATAAATAATATATTATGGTACCATGTGTACTGCTGAAATACTGTCTTGTCATTTAAAAAAAAAAAGAGTTCTATGGTTTTTCAATTATGAGTAATCTAGGCTATTTTCTTGTCAAGTATTTGGTCAGTAACTAAACAATGACCCTTTTCAAGATTTTTAGCCACATAATTATGTATCTTTGTAGTGTCACCTTTTTTTTTTCCACAGTGTAAGATTTTTCAAAAGTACAATAGATCTGCAGGTTAACAATGCTACACTTTTATTCCTATTTTCATTCTTTTGTAGACTATTCCCCCTTTACCTTAAAAGCAGAATTCATTGCTTTTTATCTATACAGTCACTACTAGTTTTGTTCTCTGGATCTTGTTCCCTGCCAGGAGGATCACAGAGATGGCTGAACAAAGCAAACAGTAACAGAATTAGGGTGGATTGAAATCGTAACACCCCCTTACACAATCTTTTTTTCAAGTGAAAGATCATGCACTGGGCAAGGTAAACCATAAAAATCACTCTTCTAGAAATACTGTGACTCCGTAACAAATAGAAAGCTAGGTATATGGGTGAGGTTATATCTACAAATCATTCCTACACTAGCTATACATTTGACTACCAAAACCTTTCCAACCAAGCCAAAAACATACAAGTAACTTAACAACCCTAAAGAAAAAACAAAATCATAAAACTTCAGTTAATATTAAAAACAAAATATATCAAATCCTATACATAACTTTTTTCTTATCAGATAAATTATTATGACAAATTTTACTAACATTTTCTCATTGAATTACTTTTGGAATATAACTTTTCTTAAGGAATAAAAAGGGACAAAAAAGAATACATAAAGCTAAAAGGATACATATCTGTGTTAGCCTGAGATGATTTTGCTTTAAAATATGCTTGGCTGCTGTAGGTCAATGTAAAACTTTGATTTCTCAACAAAGGAAAAAGAAAACAATATTATTCTCTGTAGAGTAGAAATCCTCCTGGTATAAACAGTGACTAACAAGTTTGTTAGAGTGAATTAGGCATTTCTTTTGTCTTTGAAAAATGACATACCCAATTAAAACTTCTGTACTTATGAGATAAATAGAACACTATCCTAAGGATAATAAAAGCTAGGATAGGTAGAATTTGCCACCTGGGGAATAAGTACCTTTACCTTGATAATAATCTATCAGTTCCCCAAGTTTCTTCTTCTAGTCCCCTAACACCATGGTGTTGAATTCATTTACAACAATCTTTCAGCAATATAGAAATAATATGCAAATACAATTCATCTTTTCTCATCATTTAAATATCTGCTATACTTCTGAGTGAAATATTTAATCTTAAAAATAAGATAAAAGTTCTATGTTCAAAGAGTATGGGATGCCAACAATAGCTAAACAATTCCAATAAAGTAAATGGTGAAGACTGATTTAAAAATGAATTTGTCTGCTGCTTGTGTTCTCCTGGATGTGTGCAAGGTCCACTGGTGGAATGGCAAACCATGTTCAGCTGTGCTTATCTGCTCAAGTTTGTTTCTCCCTTTCACAGGTTTATAAAAAACGCTCAAGAAGCTAAGCCCATGCCATGGAAAGAAAGAAGGACTCAATTCTCTGCCCTTGACTCTCTTTCTCTTCAAGGATCTCAGAATTTGTGAAATAAACCAAGCCCTAGTTAGAATACACATTTCTATTTCTTTCCTATAGTAGATGTGTGAGCATATGCTTCACTTCACTGGAGATTTATTTTTAATATTTTAGTTTTACATGCTTTTCTTTTACTAGTATAAACATTCATTCTAATTTCTATTCTTTCTTTTTCTTTTTCTTTCTTTTTTTTTTTTTTTGAGACGGAGTTTCGCTCTTGTTACCCAGGCTGGGGTGCAATGGTGCAATCTCGGCTCACCGCAATCTCCGCCTCCTGGGTTCAGCCAATTCTCCTGCCTCAGCCTCCTGAGTAGCTGGGATTACAGGCACACGCCACCATGCCCAGCTAAATTTTTTGTATCTTTAGTAGGGACGGGGTTTCACCATGTTGACCAGGATGGTCTCGATCTCTTGACCTCGTTATCCACCCGCCTCGGCCTCCCAAAGTGCTGGGATTACAGGCTTGAGCCACCGCGCCCGGCCTAATTTATATTCTTTCTCAGGAGTTTCTTCTCCCCATTATTTCTTTTTCTTATTAACTTTTCATTTTGCTTATTCATAGTACTTAAGCTTATTATATTCTATTTTCTTTCTTTTTGAGATGGAGTTTTGCTCTTATTGCCCAGGCTGGAGTGCAATGGCACGACCTCAGCTCACCACAAGCTCAGCCTCCTGGATTCAGGCGATTCTCCTGCCTTAGCCTCCCAAGTAGCGGGGATTACAGGCATGTGCCACCATGCCCAGCTAATTTTTTTTATTTTTAGTAGAGACGGGGTTTCTCCATGTTGGTCAGGCTGGTCTCAAACTCCTGACCTATGATCCACCAGCCTTGGCCTCCCATAGTGCTGGGATTACAGGCGTGAGCCACCGCACCCAGTATATTCTATATTCTATATTTTTTCTTTTAATCCTCTTAAATAATATAGATTTTTCTGCAATCTTTTACTTGGTATTCTCCTTTTAGATTTTTTATGTTAATTATTTTAACAAATTATTTTAAAAATCTGTTATGAGTATTTTTTCCCTGATCTTAATATGAAGCTTTGTATACAAACTTTCCTAAAAGTCTGTTTGTGATTCTATCAATTTAAGAGATTAAGAATAGTTATCAACTTATTGTATAAGCAATTTCCTAAAGAATATTGCTATTTTTATTTCACTTTTAGGGAAAGAAAATGAGAATCATAGTGGGTACGTTTTACTTCAGAAGGTACTTATGATACAATAAGAAATATATACAGTCATTCCTGTTCCAGGCACCTTCCTGGGATACCAAAATCCAACCATGCTCAAGTCCCTGATGTAGCACAGTGTAGTATTTGCATATAACCTATGCACATCCTCCCATATAATCTCTGTATTACTTATAATAACTAATACCATGTAAATTTGATGTAAATAGTTGTTATACTATATTGTTTAAGGAATAATAACAATATAAAAGGGCTGTACATGTTCAGTACAGGTGCAATTTTTTTTTTCAAATATTTTTGATCTGCAAATGGTTAAATAAGGGATGTGGAACACATGGATACAGAGGGCCCACTATATTTAATTTTTGTCCCCAATTCCTGACACATAGTTTCTAAAACCCTTGGAATTTCTCGAGTAATAAGAGCATCCTTTGTTATTACAAGCAAAGCATAACAAGCCCCTTTCAACCATACCAGTGTTTATGCTTAATAAGATGATTCCTGGTGAGTCTCTAGATAGGTTCAAGATAAGGACTGGCTGCAAGAGGAGGTAACCATGTGATAAGATGATTTTTAACATCCAGCCCCACCACCAGGCCTCTGCAGAAGGAAAAGGAAATGGAGATTGAATTCAATCACCAATGGCCAATGATTGAATCAATGATGCCTACTTAATGGAAGCGCCATAAAAATTTTGGAGTTTGGAGACATTCCAAGTTGGTAAAGACTTTGAGATGCTGAAGGTGGCACACTCAAAAAGGACAAGAAAGCTTCCTGTTCCTTCCTCCATACCATGAACTATGCAACTCTTCTATTTGGCTGTTTCTGAGTTGTATCCTTTAAAACAAACCAGTAATGGCAAATAGAAAACTTTTCTAAGCCATTGTAGCAAATTACCAAATCTGAGGAAGGCCTCCTGGGAATCCCCAATTCATAGTCAGTTGGTCAGAAATACAGGTGGAAACCTGGGACTTGTGACTGGCATCTCTTGTTGCTGAAAAGCTTTTGGCTTTATTGGAGAAAACCTGAATATGCCTCAAATGATTGCCCTTTGGTTCCCAATATGTTCCCTTGAATTGCCTCTAAGTTAGAGTAGGATGACCATTTCCAAATGCTTGATTTTTTGGTCATGTTCTTCTTGGTATGCATCCAACACAATCTATTCTTAATGGTAAGTAAACCTGAGACACTTGCCAGAAATCTTGAACTTAAATTGTAGGCTGCCCAACTATTATGAAAGTCTGTGTTATTTTTTAAGTAACATTTAATAAGGACAATCTGACATTTGCAATCCATTTACTCCATTCTGGCATCTAAAATGGGGCAGGCTTGTGGAACTGAGTCCTTAATCTGTAGGGTCTGCACTAATTCTAAGTAGTTAGAATTGAACTGAATTGCCCAACTGGAGTTTGGAGAAGCAAAGAGTTGGTTGTTGGGTGGAAGAAAAAATGTATACAATTGGTTTCAGAAGTACTGTGAGTAAAAATAACTGAATGCTGTTTCAGACAAGTGAATTGCAGATGAATAGGTAACAATCAGCAAGACCTGCCATTAAAAAGTTTTTCGTTATTGTGTTAATTAAACATTGTTGCCTTAGGCAACATAAAGTCAGATCAGCCAACTATAATTAAAACTCATCTCCTCTGAGAAGTAACCATAGGCCAATGAAAACTGAAGTCGCATTTCTGATGAATGAAATGGCAAGAAATAAATCTTGTTTCTGATGAGTAAGAGAGAATTTCAATCATTTGACATGACTGTTAGGCTTGGCAACTCTTTCTGGAGACCTAGACCATCCCCTTTGACTTTACCTGGGTAGGAGGCTTGGGAAAAATCTATTCAATCAGTAAAAGTTGAAAGACAAGTAGCCCATTTTTGTTACCAGCCACAGATATTCTAAAAAGGAAGTTGCCAGAACAATATAAGTACCTTTTTCTAGGAAGAGAGGTAGATAAACAGAAGGATAAGTAGGGTTTGTTTGTTTTATTTTATTCATTGTAAACTATGCCCAATAAACAGGCTTCCTTGCCTTAAAAATAAAATGTCTTTAAGCCGGGGACCTGATGGACTTATTTCCATTAGCTCACATGGATGAATTATGGGGATTTGAACATGGTATCTTTAATTCTTCTAGCTAGCTTGGAAGCCATGTGTAACAACCTCCTA